CTGCAAAGTATCGCCGTACTATACTTTTAAGCTTTGGACTAAACGCAGTTTGACAACGGGGAACTGTCAATGTTCTCCTTAACGTCAGTGTATGAGTAAATCGTCTGGTTACTCGTTCATATATCTCACATTCCACTTCCACGTCTGTGTAAATCCTTTTTCCTATATAAATAATGTCCCTTGCCTTCGTAAATTCTAGGAGAGATGAACACGAGCACCTGAAAAAAAAGGATATCTGGACCCTGAGACCATAGGCGATTATAGGAGAAACTGTACAACCTTAAATTTCTTATACTGTTTCCGACCAAGGCCGCGCACTTTGTCGTCGGTGAGGCCGCTCGTTTCCCGTCCCTTTGCGCACATGGCGGGATTTCTGTCTTCGCTTAGGCTTACTAGGCTAAGTAATGCTACAATAACCGTTCTAACCCCTTTAGTTGCGCCTCAACCTTTCAAGTTTTCCAGACTAATTCACTACACTCCTCCGCTCAACAAGGATTTTTACAAAATTCTCGGTGTCCCGAAAAATGCCTCAAGTTCCGATATAAAGAAAGCCTATTACCAGGTTTAAGATACCTTCTAATTTTATGTCTTTAATAGTTGGCAAAAAAATATCACCCAGATGTTAATAAGCATGATAAGACTGCCTCTCAAAAGTTTCAAGAGGTCAGTGAGGCCTACGAGGTTTGTTACTCATATTTGTGTATATATACATAAATAGGTGCTTGGTGATGAGGAAAAAAGACGAGCCTATGATTCCTACGGCCAATCGGCACCTGGAGGATTCTCTTCGGACAGCCATTCTCAAGGTTTTGGCCAGTACTCTCATGTCGATCCGGAAGAATTGTTCCGACGTATATTTAAAGATAGCGATTTCGCTTTCAAGGAATGGACGAGTGGTGATCGCAATTTTGCGGAATCAATATTTGGGTTTAACAGATCGCAGGAAGTTGTCGTTAATTTGACCTTTGAAGAGGTACTAATCCTAATTGTTGAGCTTTCCTTGGTTCTTCACACGCAGTGTCTTGTGCATTTCGTTGTCTGACGACTTTTTTATCACTCACCATGAACCAAATTCCACAGTTAGTTTTTCCTGCCTGGAAAATCAGTCAATGTTGATGCTCTGCTACTTTCATATATTGTTCTTGTTTTGAGTATATTCATATTGGCTGAGCCGACATCACGATGCATGATCTGTTCCTTTCCGGATTAATACTGCCT